AATCTGAAGATAGAAAGGGAGAGAAAAATGAATTGTTAGTAGACATGTAAGGTATGGTGTTAAAGGAAATGTTTTATTTTTTTTCTTTAGTTATTTGTTGTAAGTTATTTGTTGTCCGTATTTTTACACAGGTTGCATATAAAAGATATAATGCACAACGTTTTTTCTTTAAAACAACAAACAAACAAAGCTGTATCCAGAGTTGTAGAATTCTCTTTCAAAATGTCATTTATTCTCCTGAGCATAAAACAGTTATTAAGAACAGAGGAAAACTATTTCCGTCTAATGGTTTCCTAGCATGAACACAGCCACAAACTAATTAAAAAGTCGTACCTCAAACTCCACCATGGCCTTCTTCATGCTCTCTACATCAAAGATCATCTTGATCAGCTCCTGGATGGGTTTGGCCAGCTTGGACTTGGTGCCGGCGCTGGCTGTCAGCTTCTTCACCGCTTCTTCATCCTGTCAAGAAACACATCCACAATCCAGTCATATACAGAAGGAAACAAACGGTCTGAGTTCTGGTTTTGAGTGTGTTACAGTCTGTACCTGTCCATAGTCAATCTCCAGTGGGTAGAACCTATTGGGATATTTGGTGAAGTTGGAGGTGCTCCATGTGTTGCCCGTCTTCTCTTTGTAGACACCCAGGAAGTTGTCCATGGCAGAGTTTTTGTCGTGAAACTTGTCTAGCTTGTTGCCTCCGATAGTGGTACCCACTCTGCCCCATGACCTGAACACCCAGTACCTGCACATAGAGGGAAGAGATACTGTAGTTGAGTTTGGATAATCATTTTAAACATTGTAGCAATAGTGTTGGAAAGGGGAACAAACACTGTTCCTCTGCAGTAGAAAGGTAAAACGGGTCTAATCCCTCAATCTCTGACCTAGAGCACCACTAACCGTTTCTGTACATCATCCTCTAGCAGCTGCAATTTGTAGTAGGAGTTAGTTCCTCTGACAATGTCCACAAGACCCAGCGTAGCACTGTACATCTTCCCGCTCTGCTCCAGGACATGAGCGCTGTTCTCCAGCCCTAAAAATAAATAAAGTCAAGGTCAGAAGACAAAGAAATTGGATGGAGTAATAATGTTTTGAATGCAGGGCGCTCATGACTACCTGAATCTGGATCCACAGCAGCTCCTCCTTTCACCGTCAGTTTCATCTTCTTGGTTTTGCTACTGCCTGTAATCACGTAGACTCATGTTTTTCATCAATAAACATACACCAAAGAGTCCAGTGCTATAACCAGGGTTGGGAGTTACTTAACAAATGTAATCAGTAACATATTCTGAGTATCACATTCTAAATGTAAATTTAATTTAATGAATTTGATTACTTTTGGATTTCCTTAATATCGAATGTGATGCATATAAATACAAGAGAAAAAATATATCAATAAGAGGTTATTTACTCAAGTTTGTCATGTAAGACAACAAAACAATAGGCGCGTTCACACCGCAGTACTTTTCCCACTTTAGTTCCGATATAGTTCCGAAATGTCGCGTTCACACCAAAAAGAGCCGGAACTAAAATTAGTTCATCAGAACCTTTTTTAACCCCTTTTCCGTCCCTGGCAGGTACTTTCGTGGGAGAAAAAGGTTCCTATGTCTGATTGGCTGGGCGGATTGCAAACCACGCCCCGTAAAACTCCCAAAAAGTTTTGTGACGCCGCCATTTTATTATCCTCGCATTAGCATTATTAGCATTAGCCCAGCACACAAACGCAGAGAGACTAACTTATGGCAACACAAAAGAAAACATGGGAGCGGTGGAGATGAGGAGGTGTCGGCGTTCTGGCGATTTACTCGGAAGGCTTCAGTAGAAGGTGCTGGGAGTCCCAGCAGCTTCTACTGAAGCCAGTCCTCAACTCCGGGGACTTCGGGTGGCAGTATACGCCGTGAAGTTGTTTGCGGCCTGCCAGTAAACCCAAAGGAGAAGAAGAAGATGTCAGCGGCTTAAAATTTGCCTAATCCTTCCCCCAGGAACTTATTCCGGTGTGAACGCGATCTGTACTTAGTTCATGAGAACTAAGTTCTCATGAACCTTTGTGGGAAAAGTACTGCGGTGTGAAAGCACCTATTGTGACTTTTGAAAAAGAAACAAGACATTTAGTATCAAAAATGTTTCCTCTTATATTTAAGGCTTACAGAATATTATAGTCTACAAATGCTGGTTTAGACACATTAGTTTTTTTTTTATAAATAAAAGGAAATCAGCCTAAATAAAAAGCAATTTTTTTTTACCTAGAATATATCATTTTTTATTATAAAACGCATTATTACATTGTAATCCTGTTAGTAATTGAGATCTTAAAAAATGAGCAGTAATCTGATTACATCACCTGTAACTGTAAGGGAATAGTTACTTTTTTTGTATTACATGTAATCTGTTACACAAGGGGGATCACCCCTCTTAAACATGAGCTAACATTAAGACACAAATAAATAAGCACATGCATCGACAACCGCAACTAATCCTTTACCTTCCTCCTCCTTCACCCTGCCTGTGCTCTTGGCAGCCGGCGTTCCAGACTTGGAGGCCACTGACGGAGCTGGAGCCTCAGCTTTGACCTCGGCGCCCCAGGGTGAGATGGCGTGCAGGGAGACGAGTTCCTGGAGGGCTTTACCCGACGACTTGATGTCTTTGAGGAAATCCTCGGAGACCACACGCACCCCAGCGTCCCTCACCTCCTCCATCTTCTTACTCATCTTCTCTACCTCCTCTGTGGAAACAGGTGTGACAAAGGCAGCGAGTGAGAAAACTTGATATAGTGCGGGGCAACATACGAATAATTCTGCATTTTTTAGCTGGTTGCTCACTTTTGGTGCTGAGGCAGAGAGAAGCTTTATTTGCTGAGCTGGCAATCTTTCCACCGAGCTCCTCGACAAAAGCCTTGAGATCGTCCTTGTTCTTGCTCAGCTTGCCCACACTCATCAGTTTCATACCAGTAAGAGGTTTGTCTTTGTTGAAATAAAAGACACAGATATAGGAAAATTATAAATACACAACTTATTTCTAAATATTTACTGTGTTATTCCACTGGCCCTAGCAGTCCTATTTTAGTTTCTGTTTATATGAATAACATTTAAAGGAAACACTAAGCATACCCAGGTTCCAAAATCCTAATAAATGAAAGGTTTCCATATTTGCAGGATATTAACACCTCCCGGTTTGTTCACCAACCTGCAGGCGCTCCCTCTGGCAGTTGCTCCGTCTTGACGCCGGATGCACTCGCCAGCGGTTTAGCTTTGGCTGCGCTGGGAGTTTCGGCAGGAGCCTCCTTTGGGTAAACCCTGTTCTGTCGCTTGAACTTGAATTTTTTCAGGAAGGTAATTTCATGGAATTCCTAAAATGATAGAACCAGAACACACAAAGTTGTAAAATGTGTCAAGAATATGTAACATTTAATTCATCTTTATACGAATATTCTATTTGTATCCGCCACAAAGCTACAGCACGTAAAAGGAAGAATAAATACCTATAGTTCCAACCATAGTGCATTTCATCACAATAGGCACTTTCACACCGGAACTAGAACTTAGTTAATGAGTGTGTGTTCTGATGAACTAAGTTCTGGTGAACTAAGTACGGCAAAGTACTTGGTGTGAAAGCGCCTAATGATGTGGATACTGCACTACAGGTGGGGATTTAGCATAGGAATTGCTACCTAAGAACCACATGGAGCACTGGAATGAGACGGCGTACCTTGGGGGTGATCCAGTTATTGCGAATGGGAGTCGTTGTTTTGAACACACACTTTGTCCAGGCTGAGATGTCCCCATGACAGTAATAAGCATCACCCTTGAACACCAGCTGACCCATGCACTCCTTACAGGGCTCAAGGGCCCCGAAAGCCATGCCGTCTGCGAGGCAGTCCAGCACCTGAAGATTAAACATAAAAACTGACTTTAACAGAATCAGGTATCACAGGGGCTTCAGTTTATACGTTATTTATACAGTAAAAACCAATAACTAAGCAAAGACTTTCTCAATTATTACTAGTGACCAGGTAACCTTAAATCTTTAAATAAAGTAAACAAGAGAAGGTTTTCTTACATTAGATTCTCCTGAGGGAACCTCCTGGCTGTTTGCAATCAGCAGCTCCTTCATATCGTTGGTGGAGCAGAACTTCCTCAGCTTGTCCTTGATTCCCCAAATCAGCTGGCTTTGGTTCTACAGAAGACACCAAATATAAACATAAAAGCGTATCAAAAACATGGTCCCCAAATATAATGCGTTTCATTAAGGAATAAAATGGAGAAAAAAAAATGTACCTTTAACTGCTCCTCGAGCTTCTTTTTCTCATCGTCTTCTTCCTTCTTCTGTTTCTTTGTTGCTCCATCCACTTCATCGCCTTTACGCTTACTGTAAGAGCAAAGAAAAGTTGCTGAAATGGTTTATTTCTTTCATACTTTCTTTTGTTGTTGTTTTGGATTTGAAAAACATCCAAATTAACGTCCCAAATTAGGCAACAAGGGACACTGGAACAAACAAGCCTTCGTCTGACACCTTTATTCATTAGGCACATTCATTAGGGCTCCATCAGTTAATGGACTCTCACACACAGGCAGGAACATGTCTCAACAGTCCTAGGTGTCAATGCTGATATCATCATCGCTGCCCTGACAAGAAATATTCATTAGACAACCCATGAGAGCGGACACACACCAGCACACAGGCATCACCTAATGACCAACTCAGTGGCTCAGACTTATCCTGGAGGTGTAAAAAAACAAAACAAACATCACTTACAAACAAGTACTGATGTCAAGAGGGAAGAAGGGAATTATATAAAGTGGCATCGTTCAGATTTGCTCAAACAGAGGAGAGAATTTCCATTCCAATGTGAGGATAGTACGATATCGGGATGAACGTCGGTTGAGTTTTAAATATTGACCGTTATATAGGTAAGTTATTTTACTGCTTTGTTACAGCCTCAGTGAGGAGTGAAGCTCGACTTCTGATTAAAATCTTCTTTCTTTTCGAATGTAGGGACCACCATGGAGAACACCCCTGCACTGTTGAACCTCTACACGTTCCTCCAAACTAGAAAAGCATCCAATCTTTCTGACTTCCTGCAGCCTTTCCAAAACTCCTCAGCTCCTTCCTTTTCCAATACGGACTCCTCCCTTCCTCCCCCCCCGCCTGCTGACCTGCTGATCTCCCCTAACATTGCGTACATGGTGGCAGAGATAGTCATCGCCTTTCTCTCTGCGGTTGGCAATTTGCTGGTCTGCGTTGCCGTGGGCCTCAACCGCAAGTTACGCACCCTCACCAACTACTTCCTGGTGTCGCTGGCGGTCGCTGACATCTGTGTGGGGGTGATCGCCATACCCTGTGCCGTCCTGACTGATATCGGTTTACCACGTCACAACTTTCCTCTGTGTCTGCTCATGTTGAGTGTTTTGATAATGTTCACGCAAAGCTCCATCTTCAGCCTGCTGGCGGTGGCGTCAGAGCGCTACGTGGCTATCTTCATGCCGTTCCGCTACAGCGCCCTGATGACGCCTCGCAACGCCGTGTTAGTGATCCTCTCCACGTGGCTGCTGGCCTTCCTCATCGGGCTGGTTCCCATGATGGGCTGGCACAAGACGCCGCCGGAGTCAGGCCACTGTTTCTTCACTGCGGTGGTAGACATGACCTACATGGTTTATTTCTGCTTCTTTGCCTTTGTGCTGACACCCTTGGTGATCATGTTTCTCATCTATGCCAAGATTTTTTTGACGGTCAAGCGCCAATTGAGGCGCGTCGTGTGTAAGCAGAATGGTGGAGGGCAGGCGACAGCTAGCATGCGGAGAGAGATGAAGACTGCCACCACACTCTTCCTGGTTCTTTTCTTGTTCACAGTCTGCTGGATACCGCTACAAATCATCGACTGCTTCCTGCTGCTGTGCCCACACTGCCCCGTGCCGCTCGAGCTGCTGCTCACTGCCATTCTCCTGTCACATGCCAACTCTGCCATCAACCCCTTCCTGTATGCATATACCATGACAGCATTCAGAGACACCTTTAGGGACATTTTCATGTGCTGTAGGACGACGGGAGAGAGAGATGCTTCGAATGCAGCCAGCGGTGTCGATGGAGAAGGAGCGACTGTCCGAAACACACACTAGAGCTGAGACACTGAACACTGTGTGTCACTGTAAGTACCAAACCTACGATAATAAATAATATCTATTTTTCTTTGTCTCACCCTTCAGTTTTTACAGCAGGAAGCCTCTTCTTAAGTTCCTCCTTATCTTCTGCCCTCAGTGCGTTGAAACCTTTGAGCTGAGCGGCGCTGTATTCAGGTTTGAAGGCCAACTCCTCCCTGTTGCTCACGAAACACGCAGTGTGGTACCAGCGGTCGATCAGACCCAGCTGGGGCTTCTCTGGGTCCACAGTTTTCTTGGAGACACGGATCTGATCCTAAAGGACACAGCCACAGACTCAGAAACAATTCCCTATTATAAAACATATCATATGTAATATATATGTACAAATGAATGCATTGGTAGAAAAATGTCTGCTAACCTTTTCTATTTTCAGATCACAGCCTTTGCATGTGCTGCGGTTTGATTTGGCATATTCTACTGCAAAGTCATTTAGTGTCTTCTCTCCTTTGGCTCCACCCTTCTGGTCTCCTTTTCCTACAAAAAAATAAGTCAGTCAATTTTAATATTCAAGCAAACCAAGTGTAATTACGTCATTCAAAATGTGTATATTTATGTATGCAAGATATCTGAATATAAATATTAGACTTAGACATACTTTGTCATTTCAACAAGACACAGAGTGTACTATTACAACGAAATGTCGTTGTACTGGCTTACAGGAACAGGACAATATAAAAACTTGCTAAAATTGTACATATAAATAAATACTTTAAAGTGACGTGGTGCTGATAAAATTAAAGATAAAGTGAGCGTTTAAAATATAAAGACTTACTATATATATATAAATAAAATAGACATACTATATAGAACATATGTGCACTTTACACAGCGTAATGTAATCTATATGTTACTGGTCTACTTGATATTCAAAATATAAATCTGAATATACAACAGAATGTTCATTTTAACTCATGACTAGGCGATGTAAAAGCTAGATACTTTATAAAACAATAGGTATGATCTCCAGTAGAACCTCCTCTGTAAGATACTACAGTATACAGAGCGATCTCAATTATTTCTAATAGCCTGTGTGTTTCGTTTTTTTTTCTGATAAAAGGGGGAAAAATAAGTTTTAACAGTATACGAGAATGAAGCCACTGCTGGCTGTGGGTAAGCTACCCTATATTGTTGTGCACACCTGTTGGACAGACAGTGAAAAGTCAGCTGCTCCACTAAAGAGTGGTTCAAATAAATAAGATCAATACTTTGCTCTACTATCTTCACTGAGTCACACTGGGATCATAACATGTTGTGTGTGGCAATAAGTCAAATGCTAAAAGATGATGAACTGACCTCCTACTGCTCCTCCACTCTCAATGGCCTTCTTTACTTTCTCCTGGTCGTCCCAGCGCAGGTCAGAGTAGCCCGCTATATCAGCCGTGGACTGAGCTGCAGCTCTCAGCCAGAAGCAAGAGAAGTGGTGCCAGTGGGGAACTTTCCCATCAAACATGGGAGACTGTGGGGGGAAAAAACAGAGTACGTTTACACTGAGACCCATGGTGATATGGGATGGGAGCCTCCGAACATGAGACCGAAATGTGAATCGGACCAGTGAATGACTCCTAACTGAGGCTTACGAGAGAATATTCTTTCATTTTCAAATATACTATTGCAAATGTTTCCTTATGTATAACAAATTATGGTCCATAATAACTGAGGTTTTGTCTCTCAAAAAGAGACTGTAGTGTAGATAAACTATTTATTGACTAAATTAAAAAAGGCATGCTCTCCATGAAGACTGGGCGGTGTCTTTTGCTGAATAACATGCTTTTTTTAATTTGGTGTTCAAATGAGGATACAACATATGTTGTTCAATACAATGATGAGATGTGCAATAAGTTATGTAATTGTATGACAAATGTTTCACCAAATCAATGCCATATAAGTCCAAGTGGGCAGGGCACTTTTATGAGCATGGCACAAGAAAAAAAACGTTGTCTGTTTGTTTTTTAATGAAATGACCACTGCTTACTTGACTGGCTTCAAGAAAGAAAAGTCACTGTGAGATTGAGAATCTGGAGCTGCTCCACGAAGAAGGCTTCTGAGCCTCTAAATTAATTAATTCTCTCTGTGGGGCAGCAGCCTGACTTTGCATTGAGGCAGTGCTGCTGCTATTTTTGTTCCAGAAGCAGATTCTCACTCAGTTGTGTAAGTGTAGCACTTAAGCATAACCTCAGGATGCATTCAAATGTATTAATGACAAAACCTTAATGCATAGCAGGATGCGCACTGAGAGACAGAGAGTCCCCTAGGAAAGGCTCAGCGGCTCTTTGTGAACAAGATTCAACAGACAATGTCAGCCATTTAAATGCTAACGGGGGCCTAACCTAACACAACTGAAACCAAACTATACAATAAATATGTTCATTCTCCCGCCAGTTTATAAATATCCACTATATTCGCCGAATAAACCACCTAAATTACCAAAACTAACACTGGTGGTAGGCTAGCTAGCAGTTTCTCCAGATTACTGTCTGCAGACGTCGTTACCTGCACCATGATGGCCATTCTCAGCGAGTCTTTCGCTATGTTTTCTTTGCATTTCTTGCACGATGCACGGCCGCTTTTGGCATATTCCGCCTTGTACAGCTTGTCCTCTTGAGACTCCGCCATACTTCTTTAATATCACAGCGAAATAAAAGGAAATGACTGTTAGGCTAACTTTCTCCGGATGACTAGGAAGCACAACAACCAATGCAGCACAGAGAAGCGAAACTGGCCGCGTGCCTGCATGGCTCCAGAGGCGGAGACCCGCGTGAGAGCTCTCACTCTGTCTCTGTTTCCTGATACCAAAACACCAGCAGCTCTCCAAATTACACATTATCAAATGTATATGGACTACATTTATACAGTGTAACTAAGAACATTTAGTCAAGTACTGTTCTTAAGTACAATTTCATGATACTATTACTCTACTTGAGTATTTACATCTTTTGCTACTTCGTGCTTCTACTCCACTACAATTCATAGGTAAATCGTGCGCTTCTAGTCCACTACATTTGTTGTATACCGTTAGTTTATTTGCAGATTTGGATTAATGACATGAAATATATAATCAACACTTAAATTCAACAAACGTAAAGTAAAAAATAGCGATAAAAGTGAATAGTAATACCAATAATACACTAATTAACCCCAGTGCAAAAATAGAATAACAACAGAAGTAAGATCGTCTACGTTTAGAACAAAAATATTAAACTAAAATAGAAATGTAACATTGCACATGATAGTGAATGTTATAATGGCAATGATATTGAAAAAGTGCTCTTCACACTGACTTGAAACAGGGTTTAAGTCATACAGATTTGGACTCGCTAGTACAATTCCTTAATAAGACAGCAATAGACAGACCTACATTGTAACATTTCAGAATCAGAATCAGTTTTATTACCAAGTAGGTTTACACATACGACGAATTTGCTTTAGTATTTACAATATTTACACATGACAAATATACTGTAACACATTATGTCTTTGTTATTTAAAAAGCAACAGTAAAACAACTTTAAAACAATTTGTTCGGCCAATCAGAGATCTTGAAGATTGGAAAGTATTTGGACTTGAGATTTGACTTTTAGTTGCCCTTAAAGACATATTTGTGAGAAGTGCACTAATAATATTTGTTATGCTATATTACTATTTACTCTTAATTAAAGACGGACCCACTTTTTCCAAACACCGAGTGATGCATCTTTCACAATAGACGAACAAGGAGTCGGCTGCAGAATACCCGCGCGATTAGCAGCCAGAAATAATTGAGTCAAGAGAAATCGTCCAGCAAGGAAGGCGAGAGGCTGTGTTCAGACCATAGAGGTTTTATATATACAGTCTATGGTTCAGACCTATGGTTCAGACCTTTATACAGTCTATGGTTCACTTCAGTTCAGACCATGGATGTATGGTTCAGACTGGGACAACACTTCCATTGTTTTTAATAGAACCGACAATGATAGTTTTGTTATCTGACAGGCCCCTTGAGACTTTGGTTTGAAAATGTCTTTGGGGATGATTCTATCAGAATAAATCATATGCACAATTGAAATTAAAGAGCACCACCGGTTTTTGTACAGGTTTTATTAGCAGAACATGTACACATTTATTTATTTTTGGAAAATATATGAAAAAACAAACATAATATCTATGGAAAGGTGATTCTGTCAATGTTACCATTTAGCTGTTACATATTACATTTGCAAAATGCCAAATGTTTGTAATACACAGCCTCATTTTAAATGTTCATTCATGTGTTAAAACATTTTAATCTGAGGTATAAACAATCGGGTTATGGATTAATTAATATTAATTTAAAAGTATACACTTTTTGTATTCATATAAATACTATTCATTCATGTTTTCTTATTTTGGAGCAATTTTATTAACCAGATCACATGTCAAATTCCTTAGGAAGTCCCATATGCCAATATTATCCTTAAATCAACATAAAAACCATAGACTGTATATATAAATGGACGTAGTGTCCGTAACATCACCCATAGGATTCTGCAGAGTTGCCGTGAAGCCCTTAGTAGGCGGAGTCGGCCACTAACGGCTCGACTGTGACGTCAGAGTCTAATCCCGCCTGCTCCAAATAAGGGCAAAGAGGCGGAGCCGAGGCGGGACCTGCTGCCTCCGAACTGGAAGTAAACAGAGCTAGCTCAGGCTAAGAAGCTAAGCTAACATGAAATACATGCATACCAAGTTACTGCTAACAGTGTAGTTCCCCTATATAAACGTTACATTCATAATCAAATGAGACAATCTGCAAAATAATTAGCTATATTTTGTTATTCTTAATGCTTGTCATTCACACGTTGAGAAAAGACGGACTCCACCGCCCGGACCTAACGGAGCCGCAGTGGGCTAGTTCCGGGACGCCGGCTGGAGCTAGACCCCTGCGGCTCCGTTAGCTCCGGTGGCCACCACTGGGATAATTGGGTCCCCTATTAACATTTGCTCCC